TACAGTGAGCTGTTGGGATCCCCCTGTCACTCCAGAAATACAAATGGGTTCTGCCCTTCCATAGCTTGATGGCATTAGGGTACACTGTGCACTGGTGTCCACTAGAGCCTTATACTCCTGTGGGTCTGATGTGCCAGGCCATCGAATCCACACAGTCTAGTAAACGCAATTGTCCCTTTCCTCCACCTGGCTGGAGGCAGGGCCCCTCTAATACTCATTGTAGTATTCGTTGTTCACTTCTTGTAAATGTGAATCAAGAGTTCCTTGATTAAGATCGGAAGTAAAGTTAGCCCTCTTACTCTGTGTGGGGAACTGCTCACTGGAAACTGGAGCTGCAATTTTCCTGGGAGAACTGCTTTTTGTAATAGTTTTTCCTTGCAACTCACACACCCGTGCCTCTAGGGTCGAGGTAGATTTTCCATCCCACTTCCTCATGTCCCCTCTGTGATCACGCAGGTAAAACCACAGGGTGCCCCTTGGTGTGTATCCTCTATATCCTCTCTCTTGAGCATAAGGACGTTGACTCCTAATGGCTGAGATACTGGTCTGTACAGGTGGGGAGTAGGATATATCCTATTTGAGTTGCTGGACCTTCTGGGACAGTTTCTCTACAGCCAAGACACAGGCCCCTAGGGAGGAAGAGATACTTTCTTCGTATTCCTGGAATCAGCAAAACACAGTACTATGCCCACTACTAGGAAGAAAATTAACTCTATCCTAGCTGAAACCAGGACACCTGTGTTTTACTGCTGGGGAAGCCTGGGCACACAGTAGTTTAGTGATGTGTCACTGAGACAGAGACCGATTTTCGATGCCATCTCCAAATTTGTTACCTTTCCATAAGATACACTGTGAAGTGGGGGCAAAACAGACTGTTTTCAGGGTTTGGTGTGGCTGATGTGCCTGAGCTTGCGAAAGGTTAAGCTGACAGTGACTGTTCCTGTGTTTCTTCTCAGGGTGTGACGTACTGCGGTGAAAGTTCGGCCAGCAACCTCACCATGGCCAATGTCCCCTGGCATGAGGAGGTAGTGCACTTCGTCCAGGAGCTGGCCGACCTCATCCCCGACTATGAAATCGCATGTGAACACGAACACTCAAACTGTCTCCTAATAGCTCACAAGAAGGTGAGACTGTGCCAGGATGTGAGACCAGGCACCATATCTTCTCCTTGGAAGTGTTGCACAATTGCCTTGTTCCAAGCATTTTGTCTTTAGTTAGCTGGATACCTTTTTGGGGGAAAAAAAAGTGTAGCATGTATTACAGAGAGCGCTGTGGAATAGTTACTGAAGCCGCTGCAGGTTGCAGCCGGTCGTGATAACTCACATCACTACTGTGGCAGTCCAGGCAAGAAGCATTTAATGGCTCCAGGAGGAGTTCAGTGCAGTATCTCCTGTGCTTTGTCACGCTCGCTTTGCATTTTGCAAAAGGCAAGAACAAGTCTTGTTTAGGTGGGTCAGCTGGCTTTGTCTTGATTCTATATTTTCATGACGGTTTTCAGCGGTATAGACAGCTTGCTCAGGAATTTACAGCAGAATAGGCTAGGGCTGTGTTTTTCCTCTTCTGGATCTTTGTGATACCTACCAGAACTGTAGACCTCCTTCCTTTCAACTGGAGTTAAGATAATGTATTTTTCTTCCTTTGGAAAAATAATTTTGGCAAAAGACATTGATATGTGGATGTTAACAGAGGATGCTTTCCTTTTGAACTGGAGCTGCCTTTCTGCAAAACTGTTTTGCAGGACAAATGGAGTAACTAGAACAATTATACGTGTTCTCCATCCTAATGATGGAGAAGAGGTAGTGGTGCTGCTTTCTGACACTAATCCAGCATCCCTTTATGCTACTGGAGTGCTTCGCAGGCCAAGCATGTCTCAGCAGCCTGTGTGTGCGTAAAAGGTTTTGTTTGAAACTTGGGTTCCTTCGTAAATACTGTTAACACAATTTGAAATACAAGTAAAATGAAAAAAACCCCAAAATTTAATTTTAAATGATGCAGGATATGAAAAATATCAAGTACAATTTGGCTTTCTGAGCTTCAGAAAAGCTTAATAGAAAGAAAACAGAAATGTATAATAATGCGCTAGCTAGGCAACTGATGGAGCAGCTACTTATTATGCTAATTGTGATGATTTTGCTCTTTGCATATTCTTTGCTTGCATTTGCTGAAGTCAAGGGTGCTCTCGTGTCCCTTGCTTAAATGGGAGCTGGTTTTAGTGAGTGGTGGTGTAGGGCTTACCATGCAAGGTGATTCACAGTATGCACAGGGAATAACTCATTAAAATCACCACTTGCAAAAGATGCAAAATATTTTAAATCCATGTTTGAAAATTATTAGAATCTCATTGTTGAAGACTTTTGCACAGTTACAAAACTGTTGCTTGCTTTTTCAGTTTGCAGTTTTATGGAAACAGCTGTTAAGACACAAAGAAAAATGGGATACCTGGCAGTATTTTTGTTTTAACTCACCTTAAAGTTGCTTTATTTACCGTCTCAGTCTTGGTTGTTGCCACTGGCGACTGTGCCTGAGCAAATCCTTGAATGCAAAATATTCTTTTCCATTCTAAGGTGAAGGGCCCAGGGAAAGAAAGGAAACAGATTGCCACCTAACTTATTGATGCATAATTTAAGTAACACTGTTAGTAACAAGAATAGATTGATACCAGCCCAGGAGGAATTCAACAGCTGCTTTGCTTTCCAAAGCCATTAGGAGAGGGCATCTTTTGGAAACAATCCATACTTGGTACTAAAATAACTAATAAAAAATAAATTTATTTCTCTTATGTTTAATTCTGAATTTCAGGCTCCAGTGGAGAATAAAATTTGTCAGTGTATATTATTTGCAGAAAACCTGTACTCTGGGAACAATCAAACTGTAGTGAGTAATTGCAAAATCAAAGGTATATTTAAAAAGTTAAGGAGTTGCAGGAAGACAGTAATAAAAATCCTTAGGAAATGTGATTTATTTCACTGTGTTCTTCTAGGTCTGAGTTTTGAGGTGTTCAAACAATGATCGTATTAATAATTTTAAATGCCAGTATTGAAATGCCAGCCCATACAAGAGAGTCTGGAAATGTCAGAGAAATAATGCATGTTGCTTGCAGCCTCTGCTCCTTGATTTATGCAGAATTGCTGATTGGCACCTGCTTACTTGATGAAAAATAGCTTAGGACTTAGGCTCTGAAGTCTCTTAAGGCCAGGGATTTAGGCAGAAAAAGGGATTTTTAGGTAGAGGAAACTGCAGTTTGTGTGTCTAGTGTTATTTTCTTTTCTCTGGAAATCAAGAGGTGATACAGAGACAGGAGCTGTTGCATTTTTGGGATACTTCAGCGTCTTAAAAATCTACCACTAGGCTTCCAAGTGTAGACTTTTTCCACACACACACACCCCTGGGTTGTTTTTTTTTTTTCTGGTTGTGGGGTTTGGGTGTTTTTTTCACTGCTGACCAGAAGTGGGTTCCTGATTTCTGTAGTTACAGGTGGGGTGCTTGTGAAAGCCTTCAGGACTTGGTGAGTCTCGGGAACTGAGATGTGTCCCACTTAACCTTGGAGGCTTTAGATCTGGCACTCCTGCACTATTCAAGGACAGCTTAAAAAGTCTCATAAATTTAAACCTTACAGCAAAATGTTTGTTTTCCAGTTACCCTTCACAGAGCCCTAAAAAATAACACAGAGAACACCTGTGCCCCGCTCATCACAACCTGAAAAAAACATAAGTTACTGGTATTTCCACTTTTTTGGGGGGCCAACTGTGTATCAGCTGCTTAAGCCTGAAGGACAAGTGAGGACAGCCAGGGTTGCGTGCAGCCCTCCCTTGGCTTGATCTGTGTTCCCATGGGTGGGAAAGCTCCTCTTCCCTGTCTTTTCTGCATTCTCCTCCCAGCTTTCCGTTCCCTGCTGTGTGCTGGTTTCCATCTCTCCTTGAGAGGTGCTGGTGTGCTTTGGCTCCATCCTCTTTGATTCTTTTCTTTAGCAATAGTGCTAAATTCTTGACTAATTATATTTGCTTTGTAGCAAATCCTATAAACATAATGGTACAAAAAAATCTAATTTATTACAGCACTTTTGAACTAATTGGCTGAGATATTGAGACAGCGGCAACTTTATAATTTAACAGTTAATTCAAGTAACCTTTTCCAGAGAGAGACCTTAGGTGGCTGCTTTTCCTGGGTTGCAACAATGAATGTATCCTCGAGACGACCATAAGAAGTGCCCAAGAAGGAGAATGTACTGCAGCTGCCTTGCAGCAAAGATTTTTTTTTTTTTAATGAAAGTTAGCATCTTTGTAATTTCTAGAATAAAACCCTCTGCCCCACTTTGTTGAATTTGCTTTATGTGTGTTTACCACCTGCTCCATTGTGCTGAAATGCTTGCCTGCCAATTATCTCCTATTACGTTCATTTAAATATCTACCTTGCTTTTGCAAGGGGGTTGTTTTCCAGCCCCATTCTCCCTGTTGCTTTACAGCTGTTAGTTTCTTGTTAGTGCAGTTTGTATCGTGCACTGCTGCTCGGTCTGGTCCTTACCAAGTCTGCTAGTACGTGTGAGCATCCCTGCCTCTTCCCTGTAATGCTGGGATTGATTTCTGTGTCAGTTAGCCATGCATAGCACAGGGAATAGTCCTGAAATCCCATTACTTTTTGCTCTCTTTGGATGTCTCAGTTAACAGGGTGAAATGAATGGCTGGTGGGCTGAGAAAAGTGGCTGGCATCATCCTTTTTTGCCTTAATAAATGGATGCACCTGACTTCTACAAGCAGATCTGAGTCCATACCCTGGATCTAGATGTTCCCTCGTGGTGCCAATGAAGCCCTGTGTCCCGGACCTCCCTTGTCTCACCAGTTGGATTATTTCCCTGGTGGATGTGGTCTGGGTTAGCATTACATTCTGCAACATGGCGGGGTGAGCCTGGCATCCACAAAGTGACCCAAGGCTGATGCTTTTAGGAAGGTCCCTGTAATCATTTCATTTCCCTTAACCAGAATGTGGTGCTGAGGGTACGGTAAGTGTCATGGGTAGTTTGAAATGAGTTGGGGAGATAGTAGCCTGGTGCTCATCACTCTCCATCAACCAAGAAATCTTCCCAGCAAAGAGGGAATCAGCCTTTTCCTTCCCACTGGGTTTTCCAACACTGCCCATGTCAGCACCAGGGGGGCTTGGATGGGATGTGAAGGCTTCACGTGTGCCCTGGCTGCACTTGCAGAAAGCTCAAGAGGTTGGGTGAAAGGCGTTGAAGTTGTTCCATGCTGAGCATTTCATCTATATTTAGGGAGGAAAAGGAAGCACTTAACTACCAGCTGCAGATTGACTAACAAGGGTTGTGTTAGAGAAAAATAGTCCATCACATTTTATCTCCTTCCTGCCTTGCAAATCATTTGGAGAGTGTAAGCTGTCCTTGCAATCCAGCATCCCAGATCCAGAATTTGGATCATGTTCTCTGCCTGCTCAGCCATCAGTTACCCCATATAGTGCAAGGGGAAAAACAAACTTGGGTTGCTGCTTTGTGTCAGAAGGTCACCGAATAGGTGCAACATCCCTGTGTCTGCAGCAGACGCAGGGGATAGGTTACTCCCCAGCTGAGGACAAGGTGTCTCAGTAGCCCAAGAACAGCCTTAGTGCAGGCGTGAGTATGAAATGGTATGTTTTCTGAAGGTTTTTTTCTTTCCGTTGCCTCCTTCCAAATAGGAAGGTGGCTCTGCTGTGCTTGATCTGTTAGTTATTAAAAGAAGATCACAGCTGTGCTAAAGTAATCTGGTTTTCATCCATCGGAATTAAAACTGTCTGGATGTAGTCCTGGCTTAATTAAAAGATGAGATGTTCTGCTCTGCAGCAGGTAGGGATTAAAAAAAAACTGCAACAATGAGTCTTTTCTTTAGAATAACTCACACAATATTAGATGTAATAAATAGAAGCTAACGAGTTGCAGAGGAACGGTCCCACAGCCATAGGGCGATACAGCGCTGGTGAGGGACGGAGCCTGCCCAGCACCTCATGGGTCAGGTCAGCGTTGGTTTGGTGTTACCTTTTTTTTTCCACTCTCTTGGAAAACAAAATAGCAAATACCATTTCCAGGCATTCTAGTTGCCAGCTTTGGAAGGCATTTCATCTACTTTAACGTGTCTGATTGCTA